ATTCCTTGTTTTAAATATTATTTTCGGAGCTGAGGTGCTTTGCATGAGGCACCATATTAATTTTGACGAAACTACCTACTGGTAATTTGAATGATTTAAATTCATAGATCAATTTTGGTAGAATTAACATCTAAATAATATAGAACTTTCCATTCCATAAAACTGATACATATGTCCATTTATCTATTTCTTAAATAGCTCTCAATGATATTTTGTCATTTTCAATGCAGTAGGCTTGAACGTATCTTGTTACAATGACCTCCACGTTTCTATTTCACGTTTGTCAAGATACTGTATATGGTAATTTAAAAATTTATTTTCAATTATTTGTTGCTAGTTTACAGAAATATAATTGATTTTTTTGCATATTGACCTTGCATGATATAAACTACATGAATTTATTTACAAGTCTAGTATCTTAGGATTTCTATGCATACTTCATGTCGTCTGTGAATAATGAAAGTTTTACTTTCTGCTTTCAAATACTTGAGTCTTTATTTGCTTGCTTTATTTCTCTGGCTATGCCTTCCAGTATCATAGGGAAGAAAAGTAGTGAGAGCAGACATTCTTGCCTCGTTGCTGTAATTAGGGATAACGTGTTCAAGCTTTCAGCATTACATATAACGAAAACTATAGGTTTTTCATAGATAACCTTTATGAGGTCAAGGAAGTTCCCTTCTGTTTTCAGTTTGCTGAAAGTTTGTTTTGTGTTTTGTTTTTCTTTTTAAATTGTGAATGAATGATGAATTTCTTCAAATGCTTTCATTCATATATTTAGATCATCATACATATTTTTTTGTGGTGAGAAATATTTGCTCTGAGCTAACATCTGTTGCCAGTCTTCCTCATTTTTTGCTTGAGGAATATCAGCCCTGATATATGTGGGACACCACCACAGCATGGCTGGTGAGTGGAGTAGGTCCACGCCCAGGATCTGAACCCAGGCCACCGAAGCGGAACATGTGAAACTTGAACCACTTGGCCATGGATCCCGGCCCTATATCAGTTGGTTTTTGAATGTTAAACCAATCTTACATGATTTTGATAAGAACACTCGGCTATGATGTATTAACATTCTTATGTATTACTCAATTTAATTTGCTGTTATTTTGTTAAGAACTGTAGTGTATACATTAATGGGAGTTGTTGTTGTTTCTTTTTTTCCCCCGGAGAGCCAACTATTAAACATATCCAGGGCACTACTTCCTTTTTTTATCTTACGGCTAAAGTTTCCAAGTAAGTACACATATACATTTACATATACATATATAATATATATATTATTATATTTACATTTATCTATTTGTATATAAAATTTTAAATTCTTATGCTTCTAATTTATCTGTGTCCTTACATTTAAAACGTGTTTCTTTTTGAGAATTACAATTGGATATTCCTGTCTTATACTGCCTTATAATTTTGGCCTTTTACTTGGGAGTTTAGAACATTTACATTAACATGACTAGTAATAAGTTGTTTTAGTAAGCATCGTGCTCTTTTTTTCTAAGTGGCCCATTTATCCTTTATTCCACTGTTCTTCTCCTGCTTTATTTAGGATTAACTGTGTACTTTTTAATATTCCATTTTAGGCTTCTATCACTTCTCTCTTTTTTTGGGGGGGGGGCATGAGGAAGATTAGCCATGAGCTAACATCTGTTGCCAATCCTCCCCTTTTTGCTGAGAAGGATTGGCCCTGGGCTAACATCTGGGCCCATCTCCCTCTACTTTATATGGGAAGCTGCCACAGCACGGCTTGACAAGCGGTGTGTAGGTGCGCGCCCAGGATCTGAACCAGCGAAACCCGGGCCACCAGAGAGGAGCGTGTGCACTTAACCACTACGCCACTGGGCCAGCCCGAAGGCTTCTATCACTTTTGACAAATTGTAGTGAATGATTCCTTAGTAAATTATTCACATTTTCACGTAGTCAAAAATTTCATCTAAGTGGGCAGATAACTATTAAAATTTTTTAAAGTTCTCTTGCCTTTGTCTGTTTTACCTTTGATAGTTCTAATTTTGTGTATGTGTATTTTCTCTCATTTTCATAAACATTTTATTGCTTTTCCCTTAAAAATCAATTCTTCAATGAATTTAACAAGCTAATTCATTTTTGTTATTATCCTCATTATTATTTCCTTCTGCTATTCTTGTTACTGTTGTTGTCTTATTTTTTTTAGGTTTTTTATTTGAATTGATAATGCAGGTTAATTATTGTCTTCAAGAGAAACTCATAGCTGTACATACTTACATTACTAATAATATCCCCCTGAAAGGCATATAGATCTTTAAAAGTCTAATTCTGGGCATAAGAAACATTCTAAATATCCTCTGGAGACCCACTACTGGGTATTTCATTTAAGAAGTAAAAGTATCACTTCTGAAGAAAAGTTACAAGCATAACAATTGTACAACTACTAAATGAATGAGTGCAGCTATGATATACATTCATTGTCACTAACTTTGATTTCCATTTCCATAAAATGAGGATGATACCAATGTTAGTTTGTCGTGATGAGGATAGAATAATAATCCTAATAGTAATAGTTGTAGTAGTGTTCTTAGCAGCAAACACTTTTTATCAATACAGTGTCCTAGACAAAGTCTAAGATTTTTACAATACAATGTGCTTGATTCCAGTAAATACTGATTTCTTTCTTGCCATTTAAAGATTTCATAAACTTAGCCATTATGCCACACAATTTAATTGTAGAAGACCTGATTATTGGCAGAGGTTTGAGTGAGAATTCTGTCAATTTAAGACTTTAGCAAAACACAAATAAACATCTAATTTATTTCAAAGAGTACTATTAATTTACTTAAATATCCCAAAGAAAGATAAAGTTAGAATGAGAACACACATCCCCTGTTTCTCAGCAGGTTATCCTTGCTTATCTTTGACATTATGTTTAATTAGAGCTTTAAAGATATGTTTCTTGCGAAATTATATTTCTGACAACTGCTGTCATTTGGCTCCCAATTCCATGTCACTCTCGAGTAATAGAGTACTTGACAATCTTCTGACAAAATCCCAACTGTCAGCCTGTTATGCTGATTGCTACTGCTTCCCTTCAAACTAATTAAAGATTTAGTATTTTCATCAGATCAAAGATATTCTTTTTTGTTTCAGTCAACTTTAGCACTGAGCTGCCCAAGTATAATAATGCTATAATTTTTCTCATCTATGTTTTCCTCCACATGCCTGAGACAGACTGTCTTTGTTTTTTTCTGTGAAGGCGAAGTTCATTCTAAATGCCAAGAATCTCTAAAGGACTTTCAATAATTTTCACGACACAATATATACATTATAGCGTTGTATACATGAAACAGAATTGTCTGTTTTTAAATAGAATATACAACGATGGGGTAACTGTAATTTCGATAAGGAGCTTCTGCCTTAACTTTCAGATACATAATTTTTAAGATCATATAAGGATATAAATGTAAACTGTTGCCAAAAGATGAGGTATACAGAGCCACTAACTCACAATTTTATGTTTCACAGTACATAGTATATAGATATGCATATGCCGGTACGAAATTTGTATTTACTGTTTTTGTTGCTGCTGTGACTATGGTTTCTTGGTTTGTTCATTTGTCTCTATCCTACATGAGATAATCAAGACAGGTTAGGAAGTATCCATTGATTTTTATTAGAATTCTGGAGATTTTTGTTTTTGTCTTTGTTTTTTTTTGATAGGTAGCTCTGGCAACTGTCCTAAGAGTTAGACATATACTCAGGATTATTCCAAAAAGATACAATTTCTCTTCTTAACCTTCCTACTTTTGAGTCAGTATTGTTAAAAAGATTTAATAGCCATAAATTTTCAAAGAGAAGAAAAATCTCATTGCTCATACGTTAGATATCTGTAATTGCTTTATAAGAGGTTCCAGAAGTTTAATAATCTTGAAGAAAACTTAAAACGTATAAAATTTAGCAATACATCACCCATTTACTTTAGAGAGAAATTAGTCTATGGATGGAAAGGATATTCTTTTCTTACAATTTGCTATTATGTGCTTTTATTGATGGTGTTAGAAAAATGGACACTTGCAGTCTCTAGTAGCACCCTTCTCTGTCCACGACACCTAGGAACACACACATTTATGTGCACACACATGCACACACTGTTGTGCAAATGCTTGAATCCCAGAAATTGTTAGATACATAATTAATGACGCTGGGACTGTTTTCCCCTGAGTTGTTTATTCCAAAGAATTTCAACAGGAGAGTGATTGTACTTCACTCACCATTGTGCATAGGAGGAAGAAAAGGAGGAGAGGGAGCAGGAGGGGGAGAAGGATAGGAGGAAGAGGAAGAGGAGGAGGAGGAGGAGGATGGGAAAGAACATAAACACCATTCCTGGGTCAGTATTTGAAAGAATGATGTGCATACTTGGTGACTCTTAGCACATTTGCTTCTACTACTTCAGTAAGATACTCACCTAGTTTATTCCCTTCTACTACTATTCCTTTCTACTACTCCTTACCTACTTCAGTAAGGTACTCACCTAGTTTATTCCCTTGTAAACATTACAAATTAGAGAGTGCTGTAGGTTCCCAAGTCTGAAATAATTTCTGTTCAAATTATATTTTTTCATGAATCTCAATTCCAAACAGCTTTTTCAATTGTCATTGGAAGATACCTACATTTAGAAATTGTGTTTTTTAACTTGAGAGAAATACTTAGAGTGTAGCTTAACTGTACCGATCACCAACAACATTGGGGGGAGCAAACACAATTTACATCTGTGATATTTATCTGATGAAGGAAGAGGTTTTACACAATGGTTAAAAATGCAATAAACCAGACCTAATTGCTAGTAGAAAAGTCGACTATATACAATCAGCAACTTATGTATTATTCATGAAAGTGGAGGATTTATCTGTATGCTGTAGACAGTAGTTGCTATAATTCTATAGAACCATTAAAAAAAAAAAGATTGAGAATCTGCAAATACATTTTGGGAAAACTCATGCAAATATATATATTTTTTAAATTCTGGGAAATAATATGTATTAATAATAGCTATATATAAAACATAACAATTAAAACAGTTTAAAAAATGGTGTCCTATAAAATTTCAAGAGTTTGATGGTATAATTTGTCATAAGTAAAATACTTCAAATATAAACTAGAGAAACCTATTGGAGAATTTATGATGGCGTATGCAGTCATTTACTTTTAGGTTACCAGTTCAGATTTGAGTCAGGTTAGTAAAAACAAAAAGTCATTAAACCCAATGACTGTTTGTGGCCCTTGAGAAATGAGTCTGTATCTTTAGCCTGGACTGCAAAATCCACTCTGATAATTGGAGCCCAATATGCACCTGATGAGAAAGGCTAACACAGGTGTCTTCCCTTTCATCCTAACCTATATTTCTGCCACATATCTAGAGGATGACTACCACATAAGAATGAGATAGAAGTATTTCTATATGACTCACATATGTAAAGACTTTAGTTCTCCAGTTTTCTTCCTTGTCCAAGAGGTAAAAAGTAAAATCTTCTGATACACCGTGTGCTAAAATTTACTAAAGGCAGGAAATATGTTGTCACATGTACAATTTAAAGTATAATGCATATCCTGAAATATAATGTGGCAAAGTATTATGTTTATTTCTTGACAATAGTGTGATTAAAGCAGTCCTCCTATGTATGAAATTAAATACAGATCAATAGGAGAACAATGTAATTAAGAGAGCATGCAGCCTTGCCTGAAAGTCAGGAGGCTGTTGGATCTTGGCAGCAATCACCTGTAATATGAAAATTGCTATTCTGCTAGACGGGCCCCCAAAATAATATTTATAATTTTCCTTACTGTAATCAGGCATTCATGATTTTGACTAATTACTAACCAAAACATTAAGTTAATTTATCCATTTTCAATAATATGTACAATTGTCATGTTTCTTTAAAAGATATACTTGTGCAAATAAAATCCACCTAGCCACTACCAAAAATAAAATCAGAGGTATATGGAATTAATGTATTACCACCATTTGCAGGGTAGTGCTGGGCTATATACAACACTATTTCATTTACTCACAGGAGATATTTATATTATTTTCTTTATTTTGTAAACTAACTTTTAGTAGGGATAAATGTGCTCTGAAGTGTTTATATATGATGGTAAAGTTAAAAAAAGTTACTATTCAGAAGGTTGTTGGTGAATGTTAATTCAGATAAAATAATATTTGCGGGTATTATGGGATAATTAATGAAATGGCAGTGGTTGATGGATGGCAAGAGAGCACAGAAACGTCTCAGTATGACAGATCAAGAGAAGCATCAATTGTCTATTCTAATTATCTTTATGAACTGCATGCTCACTTGCTTCTGATTTCCATTTTTCTCCCTGACTCCAGTGGTCTTATAAAATTGCTCTGCTATTGGCACAACACATTTTGCATTGAACAGAGAGTGAGTGTATCCCTCATATAGATTGATAATATATGTATATATAATACACTACATATTATATATAATACATATGTTATATATCATATGTATGTATATTATATCCATAATGTGTGGACTTGCCAATGTTATAGAATGTGTCTTCCTGGAGACTTTGGCTTGCTTCACATCATTCCTAATTTTATATATGTAGGCAAATTTTGTCCTTGTTTTGATTCTTTGGGGCCAAAGTTTACTACTTAATAAAAGCGTATTGTTCTAATTGATAAAATGTTAAATATATTAAAAATAGATTTAGTGAGCCCTGTATAAAACTCAGTCTGAACTTGACAAAGATAAGAATTCATCCTGGAAGCCTCCTGTCTCAAATTTTTTGACATTTTTAAATAAAATGACAGTTGTTGATTTCAAATCTTACTATATCCTGTATATCACATATTTTCATATGTCTTGTCTTCTTTTATTCTCGCTACAAACATGTGACTTTACAAATATCCCTCCTTCATACATGAGGAAAATAAATTAGGATTCTGAAAGGCTAAAAGATCTTTTATGCGACAAAGATTTTATATGACAGAGAAAGATTTTGATCCTATAGTTTCTGTCTTAAACATAATAAACTTTCTAACAATGAATATTGTACTTTAGTATTTATTTGTTCTTTGTAGATATCACATAAAAGTTCAATATATGTAGATAATTAGAATATACATTAAAAGCCCCATATTTCATATGTAAATGATAATGGACTTTTCTTTTACAGTAGATAATCTTGACTACAATTTGAACAGTTGTAGATATCAGAGTGAAATTAACCTTGAGGGGAATTTCTGAATCAAGAAATCCAGTGTACACTCTGGGAAATCATTTAACTGTAAATTTGATACAGAATTAGTGTCTACAAATCTCACAGATTTTATTTCCTGTAATTATTTTCATTTTATTTAATTATTTATTCAAATTCTTTACACATACACATATTGCTTTAAAAATATATACAATTTGTTGTTAGAATATAGATATATATTTCTTCATGTTTAATGTAATGTTTGTTTGTGTTTGCACTTTTGTTGTTGTTGTTTGGGTTTTCCATTTCTCTTATTTCCTTGTAATTAACTTCTATGACTCATTCCAAATCACACCCTATGTTAACATTCTACAACTGAACAACTTCATGTGCTTTTAAGCTACTTCAATTTACTTTTCCATTATATTAAAATCCTCATGCATTTCTCAAATAAAATCTGCTTGTTATCGTGTGTTATCCTTTTAGTATATTGCTGGATTTTATTTGATAACTTTATTTGCTATATTTTTTTACTAAAAACAGTAAGTATTTACACTCGTATTTAAAAGTAGGATAGATAGATTGATAGATAATAGAATAGATAGATAGATACATAGATAGATACATATAGAATAGATAGATAGATACATAGATAGATACATAGAAAGATCGATAGATAGAGATAGACAAATATCTCTTTTTTAATACTAACAGATTTTGGTAGTAAAATTTAACTAGTTTCCTAAAATAAATTCATGAGTTTAATATTTTTTTCCTATAGTCTTGTTTAAAGAACTGGTTCAGTCTCAATAAGTAAAATTATTTCAAAGTAGATAAAACTCAGCTGTGCTCTTCTTTTTAAAATAAGGGCTGAAATTAAGACTAGATCATTGCCTATTTTAATAATCTTCCATGATTTTTTTCTTTCTAGTATTGAACTTAAGCTTATATACTTTCTACTTTAGTAGTAACACATGTTTTTCCATATACTATTTTCATTAGAAGAACCTAAATATTTTCTAGTTTTTATGGTAATTACTTCTTTGCCTTATGATTTATTGACATTTTTTTCTTAATTTCCAATCATTTGGGGTTTTCTAGTTTTTGTTGTTGGTGTTACTATTGATTTCTAGCGTAATTGCATTTTGGTCAGAAATGTGGTCTATATGACACAAAGCTTAGGAAATGTAATTAGATAAGTTATATTGTCTAGTATGAAGAGAGCTTTCACAAATGTTCTATTTGTTCTTGAAAAATGTGTTCTGCAATTCTTGAATGTAATATTCCAATAGTATCCAAAAATTTTCCAGTAAATTTAGCATATGATTGTTGAATTCAAATTTTCTCTGTTTGTAATGTTATTTTTATTTCACTCATTACTTTCTGAGAATTGTGCTTGAATATTCCAGCATGCTCTTGGATTAGTCAATTCCTGTTAAAAGTGAATGAGAAAAGTTCTGCTTATTTCATGTATTATGAAGCTAAACTATTTGGTATAACAAGTTGAGAATTATTATATCTTGTGAGTTGAACATTTTCTTATTATCTAGAGACTCTCTTGATATGCACTTTATCCTAAAGTCTGTTTTTGACTAATATAATATAATTAATATAATATATTTTACCAGCTTATTTTTTCCATTCTTAAATTTCTCTTGTAAATAACATATTTAAATTGTTTGTTTTGTTTTCTAAGCCACCTTCATAAATTTAATCCATTTCAGTTTTTTCATGATATTGACGTATGTCTTACTATTGTTTTACCATGTGCTTGCTATTTTCTTTCTTTCTTTTTAATTTGGTTTCTATTTCCCCCTGTCATTTGTTGGCTTTCTGTGGAAAGATTAAGTTTATTTTCTCTTTTTTTCCATTTTTTCAAGTAGATATTCTTGGAAGTTTTATGCTCTATAATTAGTCTTGTCTGATTATTAAACAATTTTAATAGTTTAGGCTTAATAAAGACTAACATGTCTTTGTAACCATAACTTTTGTACTTTTGAACTGATTCAGCATATAGTGTAGCTGCCTTCTACACTATGTGCTGCTTTGAGTGACTGTTGGCTACCTTATTTTTCCCTATATATTAGACATTTTTCTATTATTTTGGTTTCTACAGTCAATCATTGTTTTGATATATGCACTATTTATCAAAAACATTACTAATATTTTTGCTTACCATTTCTTCTTATATTTTGCATCTTCTACTAGGGGCCAGTTTCTTCTGCACACTAAGCATCCTTTATCATTCCCTTAGGTAAGATTTCTTGATTAAAATTTTTTTTTTTTCAGGGAAAGATTCGCCTTTCACTAACATCTGTTGCCAATCTTCCTCCCCTTTTTCTCCCCGACAAAGCCCCAGTACAGAGTTGTATATAGTTGTAAGTTCTAGTTCTTCCATGTGAGCCACTGCCACAGTATGGCTACTGATGAGTGGTGTTGTTCCAGGCCCAGGAACTGAACCCAGACCGCTGGAGCGGAGCGTTCTGAACTTTAAATGCTAGGCCATCAGGGTTGGCTCTTGATTAAAAGTTTTTAAGGTTTTTCTAAAAATATCTATATTTTATATTGTAACTTGAACGATAAATTCAATTTTAAGTATATGATTCTAAATGACTATTCTTTTCTCTCTACACATTAAAGATATTATTTCATTGTATTTCTCACTCTAATTGTTTTGGTTGAGCATCAGGTAAAGGTCTGTTATTGTTCTCATGTAGGTGATCTGAGATTTCTTCTAGGTTGCTTTCATGACCCTTCTTCCCTTCTTTATCTTTAAACTGTTTATTTATTTATTGGCTTGCAGTAGTTTCACTATTAAGCCTCTAAACTTGGATTTATTTTTATTTTGCAACTTTGGATTTTTTGGGCTTCCTCAGTCTACGAATTGGTGTTCTTAATCAAACAGAAAATTCTTGGCCTCCTCTCCTTGAAAACTGCATCTTCCTTTTCAGTATGTTCCTCTCTGAAAGTCTGATTCAATGTATGCTAAAGCTTCTTACAATACCCTCCATGTATTTTCATTTTCTTCTATATATTTAACCTTTTTGTATTTTGGATAATTTCTTTAGGTTTATCCTATAGTTCACCAAGTCACTCTTTAGCTGTTTCTGATCTCCATCATCTGAGTCTTAAATTTAAATTATTATGATTTTAATTTTAGAAAACTTATCTGGTTGTAATACATTTGTGTTTAGTTATTCTTCATATTGTCATATGCATTACTTATATCATCAGCTTGAGTTTGTGTATCATAATACTAGATATAGTTGCTTCATTTTTTTTTTGTCTCATAATTCTAATACCTGAAGCATAGATAGGTCAGATTCTGTTGTTTGCTGCTTCTGTTGGTTCTAACTCATGGTGCCTCATTCCTAGATATTTTGTGATTATTTACTGGGAATCATATTTTTCCCTTGGAGCATTGAGGTTAAGCTTCTCTTGAGGTGATTTTGTAGGCTTTTTCCAATTCCTTGACTTTAAATGTCTAGCTCCTCTTTATACAGAAGAAGTAGAACTTTGGGGTTCTGATTCTAATGTGAATTTTTCCTTTATATTTATCCACTTTGGGTGCGCCCTGTACTTTATTTCTCTCTCCCAAAGACCATTACCATTAAGAAGGATGCTCAAGATCACTAGAAATCATTGGCAACTTCAAGTTGAAAGACAAATTTGGTGCTAAACATAGCTTGCAGGTGTCTTTTTAGGGAGTCATTTCTTATTTATCCATTCTTAAAATAATTGCTTAAATTGGAAGAGTCATTAAGAGTATCTCCCCCAACATACTACCAGAAATAGAAGTCCTCAGGAGTATGTTTCTTAATGTTTCAGTGCAAGTGAGCATATTTCACTTCTTTCTTTCTGATAAGATTAAATTATCTTAGAATATAGCCTATAACATCTCTGCATGAAAAAGTTAGTACCATTTTGAGATGAAATAAGTCATCAGATGTTGTATTATGAACATAAACACAATATGGTATACAGGGATGAAATTGTGGGCCTTCTAATTCTCAATCAGGAAGCAAGGAGTTTGAATCCCTGAATCTAAGACATATTAGAGCATCTACCCAAAGTTAGGTACAAACAAAGGTTCACTGTTTGAAATCATGGACCTGGATTTCTAAATGAATTTTGAAAGGAAACTGAAAAAGCTATCATAATCATTAACTATGGCTGTGGCTTGTATGGGGAAATGGGAGGAAATAGATACAGACTCAAAATCAGGACTCAATCTATGCAACCTCCTGGCTCTATCTATAAAGATACCATTTCATGGCTTCACTATACACTGGTTCTGATTTTGAGTTTTAGGTAACTAAATATGAAGCTGTAAGTTGAATGAGAGAGAGAGCTATTATGTGACAACAATGTACAAACCATTATTTTAAAACACAAGGGGAAAACTAATACAATGAAAGACAATGTGTCAGTCATGAAAATGCATCACTCATACATCCTGCTAATTCACTGACATAGTTGACAGCTGCCACTCTGTATCCAGCACCATGTTTGCATTGGGGCCATGCTTCCCTTGGCCTGATCCCAGTAAATATGACAAGAGTATTAATACAGACTCAAACAGGAGACTCTTCCAATGTCTGACTTTGACTTGAAGACATCCCATAGGCCCGGCTAAGTCTTTCTTAGAAAGATAAGCCAGTATGAAATTTCTCTCACCCTACCTTTCTTCCTAGCTTGTTTCTTTACACAGGTGTTAGACATGCACCATGGTTTCTTCCTCTTCCTATTTCTTTTCTCAGTGAATCTTCTACCAGTTTATCTTATGTTTGTATCTGCTTCTTGGCAAAAATGAGCTAAAGCAACTGATCCTGAGAGTAGTCTAAGAAAACAGCAAGCCAGATGGTGATTAAAGTCTAGCAAACTCATGACCTAGTGGATGAAGAGGACACCATGATGGGGCACACAGGTTCCTGGCACAAGGTGGCAGCCCTATTACTAAAGGTTTTACTTGTGATGATCTTGGAAAATGTCCTGACAGAAGAGAATTCTCTTGCGGGTATGATGATTCAGGAACTTGAAAGATGTAGGGAGAATAATCCCTACAAAGACAGAGGTTTTTGATGGTTACTGCAAAATAGTATTGATAACCCTGTAGAGAGATAATTAGAATACTGGACCATTAACAAGGAGGTAAGCAGACTCACCTGAGCAGCTGACTGAAACTCTAATAGAATCACAGGACTCCGGAGACATTTGAGTTCTCTGCCAAGGCGCATCTGATAGACGAAGGTCAAGACATTAGTTGAGGAAACCAGGACTCTGAAATATAAGATGAGGATGTCTAGATTGATGTCCTGAGGTTGTTGGCTTTGGAGACTGCCCCTGCCAACATTTTCAAAGTGCAAAGAAAGGTGTGTCAACCTGTAATTCTATGCACTTATAAAATGCTCATGAATGGAGGTGAAATAAGAGACAATTACAGACATACAACAATTAAGAAAGTTTATTACAAATATCTTTATAGAAGAAAAAAATACAAAATAGCATGCTCCTGTCAAAACAAAAGTGAATGCCAAGAGAACAAGTGGGAAGAAACAATGGTGAACGAGGGAACTGATAAAATACATTGGAAAATTTAATATAATAGTGGATTTCAAAAATAACAAAAGTTTCAGAACTTATACTTAGGCAATAATAAAGTAGAATAAGGCAAGGTAATTAAAGAATATTGAAAATATTAAGCGTTTTCGTAGTATTGGAGATGGACAGAAATACTGACTGACATCATACTTTGATGGATAAATTTCCATTTAAATATGTGCATTAAGCTTTTAAAAGAACTACCTAAAATAATATAAGTAAGATCTATAGGTTTCATATAATTCAATAAAATAAGGAAAAGAAAAAAAAACAGAACAAACCACTCTGTGTACTATAAAAAGCAGAAAAAATATTTTTAAAAGAGAAAAAAGGATAAAAAAAACAACATGATGGAAGATGTTAGAAATAAATAGTGTATATTAGGAGCGTCAAAAAGTAGTTGTAGAAAGAACATTTTGTTTACTAGAAATGTTAACACAATGCAGAATTGGAGTAATAATTCATTAACCACTGCTCATTTTCTGTTTATGTGGCTTAATGACGGCCTAATTTAATTTGGTTGGATATTTAAAATATCTAATTTTGTTCAGAACAAACAATTAACTTAGAAATATTAAACATCAGTGTTGGGCAGTTTATCACATAGAAAATTATTTATGGCCTTGCTAAAATCTCTGTTCTTTATGTAGTCTGTAGTCTTTGGTCACAGAATAGTCCATGTTTGGGACTTGGCAATGCATTCTCAGAGAAGGAATCAATGGAAATGAAATTAACAATATTAAGTGGTTTGTTCACTTAAAGTTGTTGGATTGCACAATTTAAGGAATAAAGTTTTTATTTCTAATGTTTACAATAATAAATGCATCTTCTTCCTGTAATAAACTCTTGTTTACATACTCAAAATAATTTCTCCCCACTGAATGGTTCCTTTGGTTATCCTAAGACTTTATTTCTTCTTCTCATTGGATTTTAGTCTTAACCATTGATATTTTGTCTTAAAAAATTTTAAGGTTAACTTAGAGAAATTTGGGGTAATGTAGCTTCAAAAAAGAAGTTTCCTGAGAAAATACATCATAAACAATTTTAATTGGATTATTCTATTACAGGGGCTACCTAAACGCATTTATGGCCACATAGAGAGAGAGAGAGAAAGGAAAAGAACAGATAACTGAGTAGCCCTGGCTCCTTAAATCCGACTCTTTACTTTCTATTTTTTTGTTGTTGCTTTCAAATGTATTATATATTTCCTACATGAGGAATATAATTACATTAAAAATTAAACATAAATGACTTGAATAAGTGAACAGGTGTTTAAATTGTTTTAGTGGTGATATGTCTTATTTGTAAATGCTGTGGTATAGTTATAGAGTTTTTTAATTAGTACTAACTTAGAACTGTAGTAGGATGTGTTAAGTGTTATCAACACTAGAATTTACTGCTTATTTATCACAGGTCCAAAATGCATATGTAGCTGAGTTAGAGTGTAAGTGTACATATGTAACTGGCTTAATATAACTCACATGTGGCTGGGTTACATTATAATTCACATTACAACTGCTGATGTGTGTGCAGAAAATAAGTGTTTTATTTCACGAAATTTATTTTATCCTTTCCTTATACTTATTAAATTCTGGGCAATAAGTAAAATACAAGAAAAATCACTTTATCAGATAAATATTAGTCTAATATAAATTTTAAAATATCTTTACAGATTATTTTCCTCTCCCTCTTTTCTAAGATGGCTTCTGGGTTTGTGGGTGAGAGTATTGCATGATCTCTTGGCATTGAAGGAGAAAGGGGCGA